TACTAATATTATCATGTTATTGCTGCTATTACTAATATTATCATGTTATTGCTGCTATTACTATTATCATGTTATTGCTGCTATTACTATTATCATGTTATTGCTGCTATTAGTAATATTATCATGTTATTGCTGCTATTACTAATATTATCATGTTATTGCTGCTATTACTAATATTATCATGTTATTGCTGCTATTACTAATATCATGTTATTGCTGCTATTACTAATATCATGTTATTGCTGCTATTACTAATATTATCATGTTATTGCTGCTATTACTAATATTATCATGTTATTGCTGCTATTACTATATCATGTTATTGTGCTATTACTAATATTATCATGTTATTGCTGCTATTACTAATATTATCATGTTATTGCTGCTATTACTAATATCATGTTATTGCTGCTATTACTAATATTATCATGTTATTGCTGCTATTACTAATATTATCATGTTATTGCTGCTATTACTAATATCATGTTATTGCTGCTATTACTAATATGATCATGTTATTGCTGCTATTACTAATATTATCATGTTATTGCTGCTATTGCTAATATTATCATGTTATTGCTGTATTACTAATATTATCATGTTATTGCTGCTATTACTAATATTATCATGTTATTGCTGCTATTACTAATATCATGTTATTGCTGCTATTACTAATATTATCATGTTATTGCTGCTATTACTAATATTATCATGTTATTGCTGCTATTTACTAATATTTATCATGTTATTGCTGCTATTACTAATATCATGTTATTGCTGCTATTACTAATATTATCATGTTATTGCTGCTATACTAATATTATCATGTTATTGCTGCTATTACTAATATTATCATGTTATTGCTGCTATTAGTAATATCATGTTATTGCTGCTATTACTAATATTATCATGTTATTGCTGCTATTACTATATTATCATGTTATTGCTGCTATTACTAATATTATCATGTTATTGCTGCTATTACTAATATTATCATGTTATTGCTGCTATTACTAATATTATCATGTTATTGCTGCTATTACTAATATCATGTTATTGCTGCTGTTAGTAATATTATCATGTTATTGTTGCTATTACTAATATTATCATGTTATTGCTGCTATTACTAATATTATCATGTTATTACTGCTATTACTAATATCATGTTATTACTGCTATTACTAATATTATCATGTTATTGTTGCTATTACTAATATTATCATGTTATTACTGCTATTACTAATATTATCATGTTATTGCTGCTATTACTATTATTATCATGTTATTGCTGCTATTACTAATATTATCATGTTATTGCTGCTATTACTAATATTATCATGTTATTGCTGCTATTACTAATATTATCATGTTATTGTTGCTATTACTAATATTATCATGTTATTGCTGCTATTACTAATATTATCATGTTATTGCTGCTATTACTAATATTATCATATTATTGCTGCTTTATAATATTATCATGTTATTGCTGCTATTACTAATATTATCATGTTATTGCTGCTATTACTAATTATGTTATTGTGCTATTTATTCATGTATTGCTGCTATTACTAATATTATCATGTTATTGCTGCTATTACTAATATTATCATGTTATTGTTGCTATTACTAATATTATCATGTTATTGCTGCTATTACTAATATTATCATGTTATTGCTGCTATTACTAATATTATCATGTTATTGCTGCTATTACTAATATTATCATGTTATTGCTGCTATTACTATTATCATGTTATTGCTGCTATTACTAATATTATCATGTTATTGCTGCTATTACTAATTCTTGTTATTGCTGCTATTACTATTATCATGTTATTGCTGCTATTACTAATATTATCATGTTATTGCTGCTATTACTAATATTATCATGTTATTGTTGCTATTACTAATATTATCATGTTATTGCTGCTATTACTAATATTATCATGTTATTGCTGCTATTACTAATATTATCATGTTATTGCTGCTATTACTAATATTATCATGTTATTGCTGCTATTACTAATATTATCATGTTATTGCTGCTATTACTATTATCATGTTATTGCTGCTATTACTAATATCATGTTATTGCTGCTATTACTAATATTATCATGTTATTGCTGCTATTACTAATATTATCATGTTATTGCTGCTATTACTAATATTATCATGTTATTGCTGCTATTACTATTATCATGTTATTGCTGCTATTACTAATATTATCATGTTATTGCTGCTATTACTAATATCATGTTATCACTGTCACACTCAGTATTGCTTCATGTAAATTAAAATCCTCTTAATTGTAACGAGACTTTTTTCAAGACACTGGCGGTATCCCACCGAGGCAGAGAGTGACAAAAGAAAAACTAAAGGTTTTCTTTTTAAATCTAGTAATTTATGCAGGAGAAATGGTTACTAGCGCCTTGCTCCCAGCATTTTAGTCACCTCTTACAACACTCATGGCTTACGAGGGAAGAATTCTTTTCCATTTCTATGGAGGGAAGTTATGTCTTCATTATTAATACACAGTTTCACTCGTCCAGTGTGTAAAATGGATGCTTCGAAATTTGTATATATAGTTTATTACTTATTCACGAGAGTTATTTGAAGTATGGCATCGTCACACGTCTGCCAGGTGATATATACCTTCAGAAGTGTCTTACTCTATATATGCTGAGACTTTATTCCCTATTTAAGGGATTCAAGTATTGTTGTCTGGTGGTGAACATGTTACGTTCAGCCTTAATGACCCTAAGTGTAGTCGATAGGCTATAAACCCCATTAACTAACCAACTTCAGCCAAAACAGCTGTGGAGTGAGTGATGGTGATTGTGTTTCCTTGGTTGACTCACCTACCTTGCTGGGGAACTGCCCTTGTGGTTAAAAAATGAAAAAAAAAACTAACAGCGCAGTGGAGATACAGCGTCTTGGGAATGAGAGGCAGTCAGGTTTAGTTATGATAATAATAACTTATTATTATAATAGTTATAGTCAAATTAAGCATTAAACTCGCAGTTAGGTTCCATCAAAGGAAAGAGAGAGTTGCTCCAGTTCCTTGGGTAAAGAGACTTTCACCGGCATCAAGGATTTAAAGAATGAGATAAAATTCTTGATTAGTTTGTAATATTTATTGTGTGTTTATATATATATATTATATACATATATATATTATATATATATATATATATATATATATATATATATATATAATTTATATATATATATATAATATATATATTATATTATATATATATATATTATCTATAATATATATATATATATATATATATTATATATATATATATATATTATATATTATAATATATATATATATATATATATAATATATATATTATATATATTATATCGATCATTTTTTGTATTTTAATTTTTCATTAAATACACCACAGTGCGTAGATCCCTCTTTCCCAATATTTAAATAATTGACATATATTAAATAGAAATAAAGGTTGTCGTCCTTATCAAGAGGAGACTGTGCTAGTGACTGTGCTAGTGACTGTGCTAGTGACTGTGCTAGTGACTGTGCTAGTGACTGTACTAGTGACTGTACTAGTGACTGTACTAGTGACTGTACTAGTGACTGTACTAGTGACTGTACTAGTGACTGTATTAGTGACTGTACTAGTGACTATGCTGGTGACTGTGCTAGTGACTGTACTAGTGACTGTGCTAGTGACTGTGCTAGTGACTGTACTAGTGACTGTTCTAGTGACTGTACTAGTGACTGTGCTAGTGACTGTACTAGTGACTGTGCTAGTGACTGTACTAGTGGTAATAGTTACGTAGGTCGCTGTATGGGCCGCTGGTACCGTCAACCAGGTATGTCTGGCCTAAAGCTGTGCTATCACAGTACAACTCTCGAAAATGGTCCCGGATACTTATTGAAAATGGCATATAAATTCTGTAATACAAAGTGAAGAAAGGAGAAAAACGTAAAAATGCCTTTCACAATTATGTCGCAACATACGCTTCTATGTTGTGTTGTGATATAACAGTATATATATAACATGTTACACACTCATATGCTTTATTAAGGACAACTACATACTGTATTCAAAGATTAAAACCTGTGTGATTTCATTGCCAAAGATTAAAACCTGTGTGATTTCATTGCCAAAGATTAAAACCTGTGTGATTTCATTGCCAAAGATTAAAACCTGTGTGATTTCATTGCCAAAGATTAAAACCTGTGTGATTTCATTGCCAAAGATTAAAACCTGTGTGATTTCATTGCCAAAGATTAAAACCTGTGTGATTTCATTGCCAAAGATTAAAACCTGTGTGATTTCATTGCCAAAGATTAAAACCTGTGTGATTTCATTGCCAGATATCTTGTTACTAACTCTGCTCTATACCAAGTTATCCATCAGTCTCCTTAAATAAATAATCATGAATAAGATAGTGTCAAATACATTTTTGGTTACCTAGTTGTTGTATCAAATGAATCCTGTGTTAGGGAACTGTAGTGTCAAATAGATCTTGGGTTACGTAGCTGTTGTGCAAATAAATCTTGTTTTATCAAACTTTTATGTCAAATGGATGTTAGGTTGCCTAACTGTTTGTGTACAATTATGATTGTAGTGTTAGTATATTTACTGCAGAGATCACTCTTAGGTTGGTCGACGGGAGACTAAGATAGTCTGAATGTTAGTCATATAGCAGGAGTCATGACTTCATGAGATATAACAGTTTTCTTCTAAGATTTCGTCTTGGAAGACGTCATTGTTGAATCTTGTAGATGAATGGTTCAGAGAACCGACATGTTGATAAATTAGACACATGTGCAACTCTTGGGTATCTTTATTGAGGAAACGTTTCGCCACACAGTGGCTTCATCAGACTGATGAAGCCACTGTGTGGCGAAACGTTTCCTCAATAAAGTTACCCAAGAGTTGCACATGTGTCTAATTTATCATCATTGTTGAATCTGGGGACAATTTTATTTTATGTTGCACTCGTTTTCACTGACGTGAAGATGAGTGCAAGCGCTGATGGGAATTATCTCATACAGAAACGTCCTAATTTCAGGTTTTTGGTGAACTGTTCCAAACACGGTATTGTGATTGTTTACATTTTACCTGAATTTTCAAAGTTGAAGTAAAGTAGTCATTAGCTGGACTTAAAAATAATTTGGTGGACGTGTTGCAGGAAAGGTAGGTAGTGTGTCAAGGCTTGAGGAAGATGGTAAGAATGACAGGGGAAGAACTGTGTTCCATATTATTGTTATACAATACCGACAGATAGATGAATGGACACCTGTGTAACACTTGGGATACCTCTGTTGTCGAAACGTTTCACCTGCGCGGTAGGTTTCTGCTTTCGAATAAAAAGTCTGTTCGAGGGGAAAAGTTTCGTCAGTGGGTGTCTTCTTCATCAACAATTTTGTTGTACCTTATGCAAGATGATGGTAGGAGTGACAGTTCTCTGGATGATAGACAACAGGAGGCTCATGTGTAGCCTCGATAACTCTATGTGGGAGGTTGTCATCATAGGGGTCACTAACCACGTGCACTGCAGGAAAGTGGGTGACACTCTGCTCAGAAGGTATTGAATCGTGTCCATATTCGTGTTCGATTGCTTCCACTGGTTCAGTGTTTTCTGTGTAAGAATGAGGGATGTGTTGGTAATCGTGTTGGGGCTCGTAATTATGCTTGCCGTCATATATATCAAGGTGCAGTTCGTATTTGATAGGAGATTGATGTTGATAGTGTACTACTCCCGAGGGGTAGTACTCAGGCTCATGATAGTTGTCAGGCTGATGGTAGGTTTTCGGGGTTAGTGAAGGTAGCTGGTAGTCAGGTGGAAGGTAGTTCTTTTGGGGTGGTGAAGGTAGCTGGTAGTCAGGTTGATGGTCGGTCTTCTGGGGTAGTGGTTGGTAGTCAGGCTGATGGTAGGTCTTCTGGGGTGAAGGTGGTTGGTAGTCAGGCTGATGGTAGGTCTTGTGGGGTGAAGGTGGTTGGTAGTCAGGCTGGTGGTAGGTTGTGTGGGATGAAGGTGGTTGGTAGTCAGGCTGATGGTAGGTCTTGTGGGGTGAAGGTGGTTGGTAGTCAGGCTGATGGTAGGTCTTGTGGGGGGAAGGTGGTTGGTAGTCAGGCTGATGGTAGGTCTTCTGGGGTGAAGGTGGCTGGTAGTCAGGCTGATGGTAGGTCTTGTGGGGTGGTGAAGGTGGCTGGTAATCACGGTAGTAATTGGGCTCAGGGTGAGCATTGCGATGATACAAGGGAACATTGTAGTGGTAACCTTCCTTATGCTTCGAATGAGGAAGCTGAAGTGGCCGAGGAGGGTGGTACTCTGGCTCGTGGTAATACTCAGTTTTGTTATAGCTTGGCTTATCATAATCTGAGGCATGATGATATTTATTATCTACTTCATAATCATGGCTCACACTGTCTTGACGGTGGTGTGGAGTAGGTGGGTGGTAACTATGCACAGGGTAGTACTTGGGAGGAGGTGGTGGGTAATATTTTACTGGTTGCTTGTAATTGGTAACCAGTGGAATAACAGGATGTGTGTCAATATAATAGTCAGGTTCTTTATTTCCCTGGATGATAGTAATAAAGATGGGTTCTGACTGTGACTCCTCGGCAGTCAGGTCATCCTCCAGGCACTTGTCTGCTGGTTCGTCCTCCAATGTATCTGAAAATACAGTAGACAGTATTGGTTTGGAAATTTGTATCAGATTATTATACTAGTTTCTGAGCCAAACAAAAAAGTGCTGACTTAAATAAATTTTAATTTAATAAAATGTATTTAAATATTTTAGTTTTTGTGAATTATATATGAACACAAAAGCACACACGAGGCAACAAAAAACACACAAGAGGCCATAAAAAAACACAGACTTCAAAACACAGAAGTGTCCTCAAAATACAGGTTAAAAAAAACGCAAACGTAAGTGACGTCAAAATACCCACGTCAAATATACACATGTGACCTCAAAATACACACGAGGCCATAAAACACACACGAACCATAAAACGCATAAGGGGCCACAAAAACACATACACGAGACCACTAAATACACACGAACTATAAAACACACATAAGGGCCACAAAAACACAGGTTAAAAACAGAAGAGGCCACAAAAACAGAGAAGATGCACAAAAGCTAGTGTTTAGTCTCAGAAACTCAGAAAAGAGTCTAGGAAGTTAAAGAGTATGGAAGGTGGTCAGTAGTTATTCATGAAAGGTTTGATGTATCTGTGTTTTTGACTTTCGAGGTTCAAGTGACAGTACTAGTAGCTGTAGGTCATCCCATGTAGGCACTAACTAGCCCTCTAGCTCATCCAAACTTATGTCCATCACAGGGAAACTCTATTGGTTGGATTCTGCGAACTCCCACTAAAGAGACATAAGTGTATGGACCCATCTATGACACCGTTCAATCTAGTTGAATGGTTATACCCTTGCCTGTGGTCACAAGAGTCTGGGGATCACTTCTTCTCAAATGAATACCTCAGAAAAACGATCTGTCACAGGGAACCCCTCTAAAACACCCACCAGCTCTATCCCAACCCCATCCCTTACCCACAAACCTGCTGTCAGAATCGGTTGTCCAGTCTCGTCCTTGGAACACCACTATACACCACAAGAAGTTTAAAATCCTTCATGTAACATAGATTGTAATAAAGTTGGTAGAATTACCGACAATATGTAAAGTAAAAGGACACAAGTGCAACTAATGTGACATTTTATTGTGGCAACGTTTCGCTCTCCAGGAGCTTTATCAAGCCATTACAAACAATACATGGACACAGAGGGTATATAAAGGCTCAGTGAGGTGCAATACTAGTGAGGTACCATTTCGATGTTCACTAATGGTAGTAGTAGTAGTAGTAGTAGTAGTAGTGACAAAAGTAATACAATATGGTAGAGCAATTAATTCGTACATGAGTAAAAGGATATAAAAGCTATTACTTGGTAATAGTTTTTATATCCTTTTACTCATGTACGAATTAATTGCCCTACCATATTGTATTACTTTTGTCACTACTACTACTACTACTACTACTACCACCACTACCACTAGTGAACATCGAAATGGTACCTCACTCTGAGCCTTTATATACCCTCTGTGTCCATGTATTGTTTGTAATGGCTTGATAAAGCTCCTGGAGAGCGAAACGTTGCCACAATAAATTGTCACATTAGTTGCACTTGTGTCCTTTTACTTCACATAACATAGATTGTATCAGCAACAAGGCAAATGAAGGAAGAGATAAAGGGCCTTAACCCAGAGAAAACAGCAGTGACAGAAACTAAATTAAAAAGCTAATAACACGCAAGAACACTCGGGAAGTTAGTTACCATGTAACAATAACACGCAAAAATACCCAAGAAGTTAGTTACCATGTAACAATAACACGCAAAAATAACCATAGGATGACCAGCATTTCTTAAAATGTAATAATGTGGATAAAGTACTGTGTACTCTGAAGCCGAGTTTGGAGGTTCGAATCCTGCTGGGACCGAGAGATAATGTTTTTCTTTTAAAGAGCCATCAAAGATAGCTGATGTAGCCCAGCTAGGTTAAAGGCAGTCAGGCAATTTTCCGCGCGCTCTCAAAAAAAAATCGAAAAATTATGGAAATTGAGTTATTTATACCGAAAAATAGCTTAACTCTTTGGTAACACAATGGTACCAGAGTGAATGTTCTACGACGTTTCTACAAGAAATTATAGTCATTTATATCAGGTAAGGTGACGGCGATGTGGGTAGCGAGTATGCTCACAGCCCATATATTTTTTGAATTTTTTTTCCTTGTTTTTTTTATCTCTTTTTCTTGATGTATACACATATACATCAAATTTCTAAGAAAATTTCCAAGACTGTAGGCATACTATCGAAGATACGGTACTATGTTCCACAGTCAGCCCTCCTGGCCCTATATCACTCTCTTATTTACCCCTATCTCACCTATGGAATTTGTGCATGGGGCTCAACAACAATTAACCATCTCAGACCACTAATTACCCAACAAAAGGCTGCAGTTAGAATGATAACAAATTCTCACTACAGGCAGCACACTCCACCAATATTCAATACACTAAACCTACTCACCATACAAAACATCCATACTTATTACTGCACCTATTACATACATAGAACACTTAACTCTGATATTAACCCTCCCCTCAAACATCTCCTTGCCAACCTCAACAGAACACATGACCATAACACAAGGCACAGATCACTCTTTGATGTTCCTCGTGTCCATCTCACACTATGCAAAAACTCAATGCACATAAAAGGCCCTAAAATCTGGAATTCATTACCTGTAAATATAAAAGAAACACAACCTGTTTATAAATTCAAGTCTCTTCTCAAAGATTACTTACTCACCCAAAACCAAATAAATACTGAATAACTGAACATTATAAATTGTATATCTTAAATGTTTCTCACAATTATATCACATAAATGTTAAACCTAAAACCCAATCTAACTTTATTATTTTTTAAATACACTACCTAACAGAATCACTACCTAACTGAATGCAACCATATGACCTGTCTTTGTAATACTCACTTGTGCTTTATAGTTATCTGTTTACATTAATGTTTTATCACTGATTTCATCATTGCTTAGTAGCAGCGCTGTATAGTCCTTGTGGCTTAGCGCTTCTTTTTGATTATAATAATAATAATAATCATTGCTTAGTTAATCTTAAGTTAATTTTAAGCCAGCCCGTAATGCTATGCATAGTATAAGTGGCTTTGGCATACTGCTCTTATCTGTATTTTTTTTGTACCTCTGTATGTGTGCACAAATTGGAAATAAATAAATAAATAAAAAATATTATTCTTTCTAATATTAAAACTGACTATTTGGCATCATAAAACAGTAGGCGGAACTTATCCGTAGACTTAGAGCCAACCAGGAACCATATGGGAACGCTCGGCAGTGTTCCCGCTCCAGAGAGTGCCAGGAGAAATAACTTCATTATTACGCTTATATCAGCTTATATATCAACTCTACGGCTTATTTATCTATCAGAATTGATCTAATATGATATAATAAACACTATAAATAACATACAAACATGTTATATACTCTAGACTGAATAAAATAAACCATAATTTGGCGAGAGACCATCCGAAATATTTCGATATAAATGAGTGAATCCTCTCATGTCGTCACCATGTCGTATTCTTTGGTCTCTGAATAAGAGAAAACGGTGTTTTTAAGAGGATAACTGCACTAGAACATCAGTTTACTGAGAAATACACCCAAACAAACGCGATTTTCGCGGAAAAAAAAAAAAATCGAGACGGCGGGCCGGCCGGCGCTCCAGGCCAATATCTCGCAAGTAACTTATTCACCTAATGTAAATAATTCTTCCTTTATAACTTAATTAAATGGAATAATTAAATGGAATTAATTAAATGGAATAATAATTGTAGAATAATGATTTCTCTAATTTCTTTCGCGCAATTTTTGGAAATATTCCAAATACTTTGGGTGTTATGTGGGAACATAAACACATATGCAGTTTAATGTGATCCTTTATTGACAACGTTTCGCCCACACAGTGGGCTTTTTCAAGTTACACAGATCTGTGTGTGACTTGAAAAAACCCAGTGTGGGCGAAACGTTGTCAATCAAGGATCACATTAAACTTCATATGTGTTTATGTTTCCATTGTGTCGGTATTTTATACCATTTATTTTCATCGAGTTATGTGGGAGTAAAGGGCAGATTTTTTGCAACATTCCAAGAACTAGCAAACTTTATTTTTTTAGTGAAATAAAGATAAGTTATTTTAGAGAACAGGTGACTTATTAGATTCGTATAAACATTGTTCTCTCGGCACCAAGTGTCCAAACAACCTTACGTCGTCCCATATAGGAATAAACTTTGACACAAGGGCATTTTCAGTAAATCAGTCCTTTTTCAGTCTTTTCTCAGTTGTTGTTTGAGGTATATTTTTGACAAATATTTTTTACACGGTGTGAAAACACTTTGTCTTGTGCACCAAAACTGGAGGAAATCGGACGGTAAACAAAGGAGTTACAATTTTTTGACCCACTGCTTCCTGCTTGCCAGGAAACAGGACATGTGTTTCTGACGCGGGTCTTAGTCACATGACCTGCAGCTGGAGTTTTTGGTCATCTGACCGAGGTCTTCCACCGGCTTACCCCTCCACCCCCTTAAAAATTTCGGTCATAAATATGACTATCAGATGTGATGTAGCCCAGGAGATTCTTAACTATTATTTCATTAAAACCCGTGTCAGGTGACACTGCTGTTTCCTGACGAACAAAACACTACCAGCAGTTGAAATTCTGATAAAGAAAAGTTTGCTTTTGCAGATGTGTGTCACAAGTGGCGAGGAATGTGAGACTGGTTGTGTAAGTCAGGTAGACTTGTGGTCACAAGCTGCAAGTGTTGGTAAATATTAATTACAACCACAAACACAACTGACTCTTCCAGGAGTCAAAACAAATTATAATTTCTGCGTGTCACCAGCGACCCAAATGTTATTCATATAGTAACTAATGAAAATTTAATAATATAAGTTTTCCCGGGAATTTTTCACACACACACACACACACACACACACACACACACACACACACACACACACACTCACACGAAAAAAATCAAATATTCTGGAAAGCTACTTCCATTATATGGTATGACTAGAAAAAAAAAATATATGCATAAGTGCAAAATTTTGGCGTCTACTGTTTACATCATGATCTAGTTTCAACATCTCACACGACGAGTGGAAACCTGTTGCTATTACGACTCATTGCCCTAAAAACTGCCTGTTCCTGTAGCCGACTTATGTAACCTACTTTTGTGTATAAGCTTCATCTTGGATTGTTTCCATGTTGATTTATTTGTGGCTCTCAGTAGTGCTTAGTACACATTTGTTTATAATATATATATATAAAATATATATATATATTATATATATATATATATATATAATATATATATATATATATATATATAAATATATATTATATGTATAATATATATATATATATAATATTTATATATATATATATATATATTATATATATATATATATATATAATATATATTATATATAAAATTATATAGTCCCTAATATGGTAAAGTTTAAAGTCCATCGATTACATGACGGTCATTAAGGGTGCATAACACCTCGCAACAGTAATCAAGAACATCCTGGTGTAACATGCACGCACATTAGATGATAACAACGCATGTGCGACCAACCACCAGAGAATGTGTGCTGACAGAATATACACAAGAAAAAAGCAAGGGCAGAATGCAGCAGTGAGAATACTTGTGGTAGACATAAAATGCGAGGCACCACTACACACGTCAGGGCTCACCACTAGTTACTTAACATTTTTAAGTGGTTACCCAACACTTGTGTAACTTTCAGTTGATGAAGTATATTACTGCTGCTGCTCTCACTGCTGCTGCTCTCACTGCTGCTGCTCTCACTGCTGCGCTATTCAAGAAAGGTATCCCCGTATACCATTAGTTCAGTCTCCTCTACTTCAGTGATCAGAGAAAGGTATCCCCATATACCTTAAGCACAATCCAGTTTACCTCATTGATCTGAGAAAGGTATCCCCATATACCATAAACACAGCCTCTTCTACCTCAGTGATCCAAGAAAGGTATTCCCGTACACCATAAACTCATCCTCCTCTACATCGTTAATTCGGGAAAGACGTAAAATTAGGGGGATGTGATTGAGGTGTATAAATGGAAAACAGGAATAAATAAAGGGGATGTAAATAGCATGCTGAAAATTTCCAGCCAAGACAGGACTCGCAGCAAGTTGGAAAAATTCAGATTCAGGAAGGATGTAGGAAAGCACTGGTTTGGTAACAGTGTCGTGGATGAGTGGAACAAACTCCCGAGTACAGTTATTCAGGCTAAAACGTTGTGTAGTTTTAAAAATAGGTTAGATAAATACATGAATGGGTGTGGGTGGGTGTGAGTTGGACCTGACTAGCTTGTGCTGCTGGGTCTGGTGCCGTGCTCCTTCCTTGAGTGGAGGTGACCAGACTGGGTGGGTCATTGGGCTAATCCGGGGGATGGGGGGGTCATTGGGCTAATCCGGGGGGGGACATGGACCTGCTCCGCATGGGTCAGTAGGCCTGTTGCAGTGTTCCTTCGTTCTTATGTTCTTATGAAAGGCACCATTGGGTGTTTGGCCGGGCCATACACCCAGCGCCCTCTACCTCAATGTACGCAAAAGAAATATTACACAGTACTTAGTCATTAGTTTGTAATGCAGTTAAATATCAGCATTGAAGATATGAATCCAATCCAGAATCAATCAGAAGTTATAGAATGGACACGATTGTCTTCAACACTTTATAAAAATATCAACTTTCCGGCCATACAGCCCAAAACTAGTTCTAGCTGTCCATTAACATACACTAGCTCTGAAAGTTTAAAGCCAGTCAGAAGAGGCATTGTTTAGTTATTGCACATATCAATATCCCAAAATACACTGGTACTAAGTTTGAAGTCGCATAGAAGTGCATTCTCAATTTATCGGCGTTGAAGGTTTAAAGCCGTTTGGACGAGGCATTCCAGCATTATCGCATGAAACCCCTATTTCGATTTTATTAGTTCAATAAAACTGGTCAATTGGCACCTACACAACCCACAATTAATCCAAACTTTTCTCTAAGTAAGATACGCCGAGATTTAATGTTTAGGGTGGAAAAAACGGACGTGTTTCCTTACAAGGTTGTCTCTGTTCTCCCATCAGTAAAATGGGTACCTGGGTGTTAATGGACTGGTGTGGGTCGCATCCTGGGACAAAACTGACCTAATTTGCGGGAAATGCTCAGCATAACAAGCGGCTTTCTATATAGTAGTATGTCAGTGATGTCAGTTATGGTCTGTATACCTTGTACATGTACTTCATCATTATTATTATTATTGCAGACACCATTTGATGAATAAATTGGCAAAATAGAAGTTACATTAATAAAACAGGCAGTAAGTAGAGATACTAGATATTTGAGGCTACAACTCAAGTTTTGTTCACTACACCTAAGTCTGTTGAAGAAAGTCTTGGTTGTAGGTGGAACATACAGCAGTCTTATTGTCTTCGTGTGGGTCCTGGTACCATCAACCAGTGTGGGTACTCACTAGTTGTGGTTGCAGGGGTCGAGTCACAGCTCCTGGCCCCGCCTCTTCACTGGTCGCTACTAGATCACTCTTCCTGCTCAATGAGCTTTATCATACCTCTTCTTAAAGTTGTGTATCGATCCTGCCTCCACTACAGCACTACCCAGACTTTTCCACTTCCTAACAACTCTGTGACTAAATAAATGCTTCCAAACATCCCTGTGATTCATCTGAATCTTCAACTTCCAGCTGTGACCCCTTGATGCTGGGTCCCATCTCTGGAACATCCTGCCTCTGTCCACCTTGTCGATTCCTCTCAGTATTTTATACGTCGTTATCATATCCCCCTGTCTCTCCTGTATTCCAGTGTCGTCAGGTCGATGTCCCTCCTCGTAGGACATGCCCCTTAGCTCCAGGACTTGTCTTGTTGCAAACCTTTGCACTTTCTCTAGTTTCCTTACATGCTTGCGTTGTTAAACTGGTTAACTAAAAGTATTGTAAAAAGGGATTTGTTTTGTTGTTCGAAAAACGACTTGTCGTTTAAAGCTTCAGTAGATCGCTTTGAAAGTGTTTGTCTTGCGATTAACGAAGATGTGCTGAATAACCCCCAGGGGAGTTAAGCGCTTCACATAAAGTAGAACTTACTGTTGGCATGAGCAGCAACAGGAGACAGCAAAAGCAGCGGCAGCAGCAGCAACAGCATGGTTGAGCAGCAGACAGCAGTGAACATTCCTCCCTGCTGCATCATGTTGCACTGACCAGTGACCAGCCCTCACTCCACCTTATACACTCCACGTGACGTCACACTTGTATATGCTCAGCTCCCCCTCCCCTTCCTCAAGGCACTTGCCTTCGTACCGTTCACGGGCTCATGAGCCAAGGAATTGGAGTTATTCTTCCTTTCCTCAAATTCTCATTGCCTTCAATTGCATTGCAGAGGTCTGAGCTTTGCTCAGTTTCGCTCAGAACTCTACAACACAATTGCCATCAAAGATTTAAGTTATACCATGAATTAAGGAAAGATCCTAGACTTTATTTACGAAACAGACAAAGCAAATGCGATAGTAATTATGGACAACGTAGATTATAATGGAAAAATTAACATGTTATTCTATTCAAGATTGATGGACTGACCACATCGACTCAAGGCTGAGGGACTGATTACCTCATTCTCCTCCTGTTCTTCTAGCTTCTCCTGTGTATGAACTGATGAAGCCACTGTGTGGGGAAACGTTTCCTCAATAAAGATACCCAAGAGTTGCACATGTGTCTAATTTATCAACATGTCGGTTCTGTAAACCTATCATCTACAAACATCTTATTAGAAGACAGGGGAACTTGCGTGCCTCGTAAGCGCACTTGCGTGCCTCGTAAGCGCACTATGCACCGTACAGTGTGTGGCAGCTGTCAGTGTTGTACACACAATGTACCACCTCCACACCACACACTGTTGAAACTCGAAGACAGAAGTCTAATGTAATCAACTGGTGATTATAAATGTATATCTGCTGTCCTGGGAGACAGTAATGGTGAAGCTGGAGATTTTGTCCAGGTAGTCGGGAATTATACGCAGGAAGGAATACATATAAATGACCTCATAGGGGACAGGAGCCATAGTAGGGAAACAAGTGTAGTCAAAGATAAGATAAAACCAATATTGCAAACTAGAAATACCGCAAGAAATAGCAAACAAGAGGACTCCACTAGCAATAGTGAGGATATATTACCAAAAACAACTGGTGGGAGCTCCATTGTTGGTGCTAGGAGGATAGAAGTAAGACAGGGAAACATGCACCAACAGGGAATACAGTCACAGAAACCCAAGGCAAGCGGAAACCAAGCCTGTGCACATACTATGCACTTGGTATCTGCTGGCATGGGAAATCTGGAAAAACAGATGGACGTGCAACTATGACCACCCTAGAAAATGCCATGCCCATATGACAACAGGAAAATGCAAACTCCCTTCCTGTAAGCTGTTTCACCCTGAACTGTGTACCTCTTCAGTACAGGAAAGACTGTGCTATAACTTAAATTGGGCCCGGCATACCATCTAAAGGGGACAAAAAGATACAAAACATCCAGGCCATGGGAAAACCTGGGTAGCCACAACCACTCAAGAGGGAGAGGTTTTTTAGTGCCAGGAAGGAAAAAAAACTGGCAGGAAATGGCAGAAATCGTACACCAAATCCGGTCTTTCCTGGAGTGGAACCACAGTCGATGGCCTCCACTCCAAACCAACAGATACAGATACTAATGCCGGAAAAAAAATCCCCCCCCAGTACCAACAATACCACCAGTCCGATAACATTCTTCTTTGCAAATATACAGGGTCTAAAGCCAGCAACAAACAACAAAATACCTTTCATCCGTGGACTGCTTGCAGAGGCAAAGGCAATGTTCGTGGCTTTCACTGAGACCCACATAAAGGATCACTTGGACAAAGAAATATGGATCCCAGGTTACAACCTATACAGATGTGACAGAGTGAACAGGCAAAAGGGGGGGGGGTTGGCCTGTACATTGCAGAGTCACTTGTTTGCACAGAACTGCTTAATGCCTCAAATGATGTAGTGGACGTTTTAGCAGTAAAGGTCGAGAACCAAAACCTAGTCATTGTGGCAGTCTACAAGCCTCCGGATGCAACATCCCAGCAATTCCAGGAACAGCTGTTAAAAATTGACCACTGTCTGGAAAAAACTTCCAGCTCCTGCACCCAACATCTTGCTCCTGGGGATTTCAACTTAAGGCACCTAAAATGGAGGAATATAGCAAATAATATTGTTGCAGTAATAACACCAGGAGGCAGCTCTGATGAAAACTCACACTCACACGAGCTTTTAAATCTCTGCACAAAATTCAATTTAAACCAGCAAATAATAGAGCCTACTAGACTGGAGAATACACTAGACCTCATCTTCACTAACAATGATGATCTGATAAGAAATGTCACCATATCAAAAACAATATACTCAGATCACAACATAATTGAGGTTCAGACATGTATGCGTGTATGATCCAGTGATCCATCAACACCATCTGTATGATCCAGTGATCCATCAACACCACCTGTATGATACAGTGATCCATCAACACCACCTGTATGATTCAGTGATCCATCAACACCACCTGTATGATCCAGTGATCCATCAACACCACCTGTATGATTCAGTGATCCATCAACACCACCTGTATGATACAGTGATCCATCAACACCACCTGTATGATTCAGTGATCCATCAACACCACCTGTATGATCCACTGATGAATCGGTGAATATGTGAAAGAGACTTTCATCAAAGTCACGGTTGATTCAAGTTCTTTTTCTGTGGCCCTTGGATATTATTAGCAGGACCAGAAGCTGGAGCTCAACTCATTCGCCCCTCAAGGAAGGTTCCTTGATGTTGGTGAGGGGCTCTTGATTTAGGGAATTGGATCTGTGCTCCAGTTCCCCGAATTAAGCCTGAATGCCTTCCACATCCCCCCTCCAGGCGCTGTATAATCCTCCGGGTTTAGCGCTTCCCCCTTGATTATAATAATAATAATCAACTCATTCAAATAACTGAGTATCACGACCATAATCTGGAGCTTAATGGCCTTAAATTCAGCTATGCTGACGAGCAGCAACTGCTCGTCAGTATTTCAAAAGCTTCTGCAAACCCAGTTAGGTAAGTAGTATGCCCAGGAGCTGTAGGTCAACCTCCTCAAATAATTAGTTTGTAAGTAATGAAAATAAAAAAAAAATAATAATAATAATAATAATAATAATAATAAATCTTTATTTCTACAAGTACATGATACAACTTACAGATCATAGCTGACATCACCGACATAATTTTTCCCGCTGTTTATCTTCATATTTTTTTAATTTTTGTAAGACGAGGACTGAAAATAAAGTTCATAGAAAATGATGAGTACACTGACCTATACTCGGATTTGTTGTTTTTCATGACTGTGTGTAAAAAAATGTTTCCGGACCTTTGCATATATTGGTACTTGTCCCGGTGGACCTTTACTTACAGCAGTTGAGAAGCCCTGATGTACCTCAACCCTCACATAGACTGAAATTTAAACAAAATCAAGTTTACCTACTTTTAAAAACACCTGCCCTCTACTTTTAATTTAAAACCGCCTAGAACTAATTGACGAACGGAGGATCGAGCTTCCAGCAAAAACTCCTTCTACTTTTCCGTGTCTAGTACGTTATTTTATTTTTTTTTATTATCACACCGGCCGATTCCCACCAAGGCAGGGTGGCCCGAAAAAGAAAAACTTTCACCATCATTCACTCCATCACTGTCTTGCCAGAAGGGTGCTTTACACTACAGTTTTTAAACTGCAACATTAACACCCCTCCTTCAGAGTGCAGGCACTGTACTTCCCATCTCCAGGACTCAAGTCCGGCCTGCCGGTTTCCCTGAATCCCTTCATAAATGTTACTTTGCTCACACTCCAACAGCACGTCAAGTATTAAAAACCATTTGTCTCCATTCACTCCTATCAAACACGCTCACGCATGCCTGCTGGAAGTCCAAGCCCCTCGCACACAAAACCTCCTTTACCCCCTCCCTCCAACCCTTTTCCCAGCCGACCCCTACCCCGCCTTCCTTCCACTACAGACTGATACACTCTTGAAGTCATTCTGTTTCGCTCCATTCTCTCTACATGTCCGAACCACCTCAACAACCCTTCCTCAGCCCTCTGGACAACAGTTTTGGTAATCCGCACCTCCTCCTAACTTCCAAACTACGAATTCTCGCATTATATTCACACCACACATTGCCCTCAGACATGAATCTCCACTGCCTCCCCCCTTCTCCTCGCTGCAACATTCATCACCACGCTTCACACCCTAAAAGAGGTTGGTAAAATATATTTCCCCCAAAATTTCCCCCTTTTTGCCCCCAAGGACAAAGTTTTTGTCCCCAAGACTCCTAAGTGCACCCTCACTCTTTTTCCTCACAATTCTTGATTCCCCTCATCTTTATAGCCATCCGCTGACAGCCCACTCCCAATTCGAATAGTTCACCCCTCCATCTCTCCCTCCAATCTGATATCAATCTTTCTCCCTAATCTTTTTGTATCCTCAAACCTTCCTTTCCTGTATTCACCTTTAAATTTTCTTCTTTTGAACCCCCCCAAATTCATCCCCCAATTCTGCAACTTCTCTTCAAAATCCCCCAAGAGCCGTGTCTCAGCAAAGAGCAGCTGTGCAATCCCACTTTGTGTGTGTTCTTTATCTTTTAACCCCACCCCTCTTGCCAAGACCCTCGCATTTATTCCTTAAAACCCCCACTAAAAATATATTAAACAACCAGGGTGACATCACACTCCTTGTCAAAGGGGCCTACTTTTACTGGAAAAATTTTCTTTCCCTACATATTTAAAATTGAGCCCCTACCTCGTAAAAATTTCACGCTTTCATTAACCACCCCCAAACACCATACACTTGCCACTGCCACATTGCCCCCCTATCCCCCCTGTCATACGCCTTTTCCCAAATCTAAATGCCACAAGCCTCTTTCCCTTACTAAATACTTTACATTTTTCACTGTAAACACCGGTCCACCCCCCCCCTACCTTTTCCCTAAAGCTCCTTGTTATCTGCTTCCTATTTCCGTTTACCTTAATTTTCATATAACTTCCCCAACATTTTTCCCAGGTACACTCAACGATTACCCCCTATAATTTTTGCACCCCTTTTTACCCCCTTTCCCTTTATACAAAGGAAAATGCAGCTCCTGCAACCCCCTAGGTCCCTTCCCTTTCCATACTTTTTATT